ACAACACATACATTTAGGGTATTTCTCACAAATAAATGAGGTGTTGGTACAGGTCTATCATCATTTTTGGATGTCTGTGGAATCCTAATAAATATTTCATGTATAACAATAGCTGATATAGAAATATATATTGTACTATATTCAGGCAGTTTCTATATCCATGACCTGACTCAATATTTACTTTAACAGAAGTAGTTCTTCCTTAAAACTAAATAGTGTATTTCTGCTTTCAATGTACTGCTTTTCCAGTACATTGGCCTGGGTTTTCTATTCAGGTCAACAGAACATCTGCAATTTAGAAAGAGCATGAGATAAAAATTATACTTCACTATATAAACATAGAAGGAAATTGTTGCCCAATCCTTGTATGGAATTAATGTATTGTTTTTAAAATACATTTTTAGAATGTAACCTACAATAAACAAGGATTTATTGCTATAAAAATAAACAATGAGACAGAATTACAGACTCTTTATGGAAACCATATTAGTCATGCACATCTAATGAAGCATTACTAAGCTATCACAGGGAGATAGCCTGATGTGTGATTAACAAAATAATACTCATAAATGGCTAATGAACAATGATGGTTTTTCAAAAATTTTGCATATCCTGCTATGCAAAGGTACCTTTTTTTTTTTCCTAAGAAACATATTAATCAGCAGCCTCCGCCCTGAAAAGAGTATTTAAATGGCCACAGAAATAACACAACTAGCTGCATGTTGCCTTTTATGGATAGAATATGGAAGAGCAAATGATCAGCAGCCATGAAACCTCTTCCTGTCACCTTCTCAATATGTTGGCAAGATTTAGAAATGCGGTGTGAAAGGACCCCACTTGAATTAGTCCATGGATTAGAACGATATAATATTAAAATGTTATTATTGCTATTTATAAAATTTGTTCTTGCAGTTCTACGAGTGGATTAAATTGTCTTGTACCAATAGCTTTGGAAAAAAAAAAAAAGGCAAATCCTTTTTTGGTTTCATTGGTGGGATAAACTCTTCCTTAATGTTATTCCATTTTCAACTTAACCTCATCTCTAGATAAAATTTCTTAGAGGAGAAAATTCCTTATTGCTGGAAAATAACGCTATTAAAATCAATAATCTTTGATGAATATTAGATCTGAACTATATTAAAAACAGCCATAAAGAACAGGGAAAAAAACCCCAAATGTATAAATTCCCAAAGTAACTGAACTACAACCTTTCCTCTGTAATGAATTTTGGAGCAGCTCCTCTAAATCATTTGCAAGAAGCCAGCTATGACACTGCCAATTAAAAAAAAATTGCTAGTTTTGAGCTACAAATTGATTTTTTATTATAATAAATTAAAATCCAATATTAGCTTACAAGATACTAAACGTAGAGAAGGCGGCATTCTTTTTTTCGGATTTTTTTGTTGTTGTTCATTAACATATCAGACCTGCTGTTGTGGCACTGGTGGCAGTAGCTAATAATAAATATCAAGGAAGGATATTCAAGTTGTGGAAGCCCAGCTAAGGGCGAAAGCTTTGGGGATGGCAGAGGTGGGGAAAGCGAATGCAAGATGACTCAGGCTATTCCTGTGTGTCCTTTTAAAGACACATTTTGTTTCCTGTTGCACACGTGTGAACATCCCCAAACTTTATAAACTCCTATGGCTCACTGGGCTAGCAGAGCATCTGCAGGAGAAACATGCAACCTCTGTGCAGGCACCTTCCCCTCCTTCCCATCAGAAACACAAGGCTGGGCAATTGGATACCTCCAGACTTGCCCATAAAGCTGGCATTTTCTGGCAAAAAACATATATCATCATATAATTATTGTCCTAATGTCTGTGCACTAGAGGACTCAATCAAGATTGCGCAGGTGAGTCTCAGCTGACACTTCCAGTCTTTGGAGCACAAGATTCATCCTCAACAACGCGCTTTTAAGCGGTGCTTTTGTATGACTACTTTACACATGCTGTACACAACACTTTCCAAACAAGCTTTTCATTACTAACTACTTGTATTACGTATCAGTGAGCTCAATGACATTGATTTTCTAATAGTATAAATTAACTGACAAAGATAATTTCATCCATCATCAGCAGGGTTTTATTTCTGGCATCATGCTAAATAGTCCATCTTTCAAAAGATTAAATCAAGAGCCTTTTAAAATTCAAGGCACTGCTCAAACTGCTGTGAAGTATCTTCTTAATTAGGATTAAAGCTGTTTGTGTGTTGAGTCTTTGTATCTAGGTAGGATAATATTTTGCTTACATTTCCTTTAGAGCAGTTTAAAAATATCCCACATAATAAAGCTACAGCAAAAACTTCACAAGACTGGGAAGGCTCCTGCAATTTTCTCTACCAGATTCTGCTAGGCAAGTTGCTACTTGGCAACCCCCAACAGCAACCCTGGATTTTTAGGTATCTCTTCTCTCTTGTTCCATACAATATAAACTTTTTCTGCCATATGAAAACTCTGTTTTTTTATAGTTATTGCATACCTGACAAAAGACTCTCCTCTTTCAGGTACTGCAGTAAATAGGAGTATACTAAATTAAGGTCACTGTCTTGATCTGGGATCACATATATGATGGGAATTCTTAGAATTCCCCGGGACATCTCCAGGGCAATTCCAGCTAGTTTCTGAGGACACAAAGGATCTGATCCAAGGCAATCCTATCTTCTACTCCCAATCCTAATCCCTTTGTCATTAGACTCAGAATTTATTTGACCTGTACTGCTGAGAGGTCATCAGCAGCACGCAGAGAAGAGGATGGTCCAGGCCTGGGAGAAAACCCAACCCCACACAGATACCACGTTTCTAAAGTCTTCAGCAATTAGTGGGCTGATATTTCCATGGATCAATTCTGTGATCTAGCAGAGGGAGAATAAACCCATTCCATTCCT